CTCCCTCTCCCTCTCCTTCTTCCTGCACGGCAGTGAGCAGCGGCGGCGTTGGCAGGCGTTCCGGCGCCTTCGTCTTCTCGCGTTTGGGCGGCCGTGCGACGTCCTCCCTCGACATGCACAGCGCCTCGTAGGCCTGCATGACGTCCTGCACGTGCTTGCGGTACTGCATGTGGCGCATCATGACATACTTCTTCTCATCCTCGACGCGTTTGATCTTCGCCTCAAGCTCCACCGCGTTGAGCCGCAGCTGTGCCTCAATGGAGCGTCCCTCGACGTCGTCGGCGATGCGGCGGAGCGCCTCCTCACTGTACTCCTCACCGTCGCCGCTCAGCTGCCCAGTCACGCTGTCACGCTTCACGCGGCCACCGCGGCCGAGCTGCCGCCGCAGGTTGGCGATGATCGTCTCCTTCTGCGAGAGGAGCACGAGCCCCTCCGCCACGCGGTGGTGCGACACCTGCAGCTCCTCGTCGCGCTTTGCCATCTTCTCGTTAATCATCCCCACCTCAGCATTCAGGCGTGTGATCTGTTGCCGCAGCTGCTCTGCCGTGACATCCTGCTTGGCGATGTCCTGGTGCAGCTCGGTGTTTTTGCGATCTAGCTCGTTGGCGCGCTTCTCGAGCAGATTGTACGACTCCTGCAGCCGTTCGTGCTGCCCCTGCAGGACGGCGTGTTGCTGGTGCCGTGTGTGGAGTTCCATCTTGGTTTGCTCCAACGCCGTCTTAGCGCTGGTAAAGCGATTCTGCACCGACTCGAAGAGCTCGAACGAGACCGTGATGGAGGGGATGGTGCCTGCTGGCGGCCCGTCAGCGCCGTAGAAGAGAGCCTTCATCGCGTTATAGCCGGGCTCCCCGACTGCCTCGAGGATACGGCGGTAACCTTCGCCGTATTCCATCGCCGCACGCTCCTCGGCGGTCGTAATGGCCAGAGCAGCAGCAGCAGCACCGGCGGAAGCTGGCTGCACGACTGTTGAGGCAGATGTTGGGCGGCCAGTGGTGGATTCCTCGGCGCGGCTGCTGCTGGTGGCGGTGGGCACCGGCGCGGCGGAGCGTCGCGGCCACGATGGGGCCTGTGACGCCAATGCACTGCCAGCTCGTTCCGACATGCACCTCACCTATTCAAGTTATTCCCTATTTCAACTGCCAATGCCCTTGTGTTGGTATGACCGTATACCTCTCGGTTGGTGCGGCTGTTGCGGCAGAAGACCTGCGGATATGTGTGCGTGTGTGTACTGCCGCTGCACCGCAACAACTTTCGTTTTGCTCCCACTTCCTTCATCATGAGGAGGGAATTAGTCAAACAGGGAAAAGGGCACCGGATGAAAAGAGAGAGAGAGAGGCAGGAATAGCCTCAACAAGATCAACAGAAGTAATCCCTCCCCCCTCCCCGAAAAAAAAAAATCACGGAGAACACGCAGACATACTTCGCAAGAGTTGCAGCACTTGCTTCCACTCGCCTTCCCCCCTACCCGTGTGCCTCGTGGGGACGGGCGTCGTCCGTGGCCCTGCCGTCTGCGCAAACAGGGCGGGCTAAAGAAACAAAGGCACGATGCGCCCCGTCTCCTCCCCTTGTGCTGGCCATCCCCGCATCGGCACTAAAGAAGAATAGGCACACTTCGGCAAAAACAATAATAATAATAATAATAATAATAAACACCACCACCCCCAAGCGGCCCTGTCTAGGGCGCCTCATATGCGTGTGCCATTGCGGCGTCAACGGAGGCCCCGTACGTCTCGCCGAAGAGGTTGAGGTGGCACAGCAGCGGCAGCAGCTGGTACCACTGCACCCGCGATGCGTGTCCCGGCTCCAGCGGCAGTGCCTCCTCGTACGCCGCGTAGAATTCGTCGCCGAAGCCGCCAAACAGCCGTGTCATGGCGATGTCGACCTCGCGGTGGCCGTAGTACGAGGACGGGTCAATGAGGTACGGCTCCCCGCCCGCCCCGTACATCACGTTGCCGCCCCACAGGTCACCGTGCAGCAGGCTCGGCGTCACCGCTGCGCCCGCGTAGAAGGCGCGGAAGCGCGCGCTAAAGGCGGCGAGCAGCGCGTCACGCCTCTCGCCCCAGAAGCCGTTGCGCCGCGCTAGCGCCACGAGGG